GTGGCTACAACCCTCTGCAACTCCACCCCAACAACCACAGATGTCACCTTCCTCAACAAGCTAAATCACTTCTATGCTCGCTTCGACCGGGACAACAAGGAGACCGCTATCAAGTCCAGACCCTCTGCAGACCACCAGCCACTGGCACTCACCACCACTGATGTGCTTGCTGCACTGCTGGATCAACGCAAGCAAGGCTGCTGGCCCTGATGGCATTCCTAGATGCATGCTCAGGGCATGTGCTGGACAGCTTTCTGGCATCTTTCCAGACATTTAAGCTTAACTTGTCCCTCACCCAAGCAGTTGTGCTGACATGCTTCAAAACCACCTTCACTGTGCCAGTACAGAAACAATCCACCCCGATGTGCCTGAATGACTACTGCCCTGTAGCACTGACACCCATTGTCATGAAGTAGATCGAGCCCCTGGTCCTGGCACACCTAAAGACCTTTACTTTCTGTTCTCTCAGCCTTATATTCTTTACTTGCCCTTTGCTATTGCTGTACATAAGGATATGTCAAATTCCTTGTCTGTCCAACATACCTAGCCAATAAAGCTGATTCTGATTCTGTTTCCCACCCACACCTGGACCCCCGCCAATTTGCCTACCTCAGGAATAGGAGCACGGAGGATGCAGTCTCTATTGCACTGCACTACATTTGGACAGTAACAGTTGCACAAGAATGCTGTTCGTGGACTTCAGCTCAGTATTTAACATGGTCTCCTCCAAATTAACCACCAGACTTGTTGACCTGGGCATCAGCACCTCCCTCTGCAACTGGATTCTGGACTTTCTGACAAACAGGCCTCAGCATGTTAGGTCAGACAACACCTGCTCCTCCACCATTATCTTCAACACCAGTGTACCACAGGGCTGTGTGCTGAGCCCCTTCATCCAATCCCTTTTCACCCACAACTGCAGGCCTGTGCACAGCTCCAGCACCATCAAGTTTACAGATGACACCACGGTGATGAGCATCATTGGTGACAGTGAGTCAACCTACACGGAGGAGGTACAGCACCTGGCTGTGTGGTGCGCTGACAACAACCTGCTCCTTTACACCAACAAGACCAAGGAGCTCATTGTGGACTACAGGAAGGAGAAAGGAGGCACACATGACCCCATCCATATTAACGAGATAATAATAATAAACTTTATTTATATAGCACTCTACAACTCGAGAGCCCAGAGTGCTGCACAGTAAAACAAACATTGCCAAATAAAACCATACAAAAAATATTAGACCATATTGAAGCAGTAAAAAACAGAGTAAAAACACAGGTATAAAACAAAGTTATAAAGTTCCATACAAAGATGGAGGTAACAAAACTACAAATTAAGCAACGAGGGAGGTGAAAACAACCTAAACATCAAAAGCCTGTTTAAAAAAATAAGTTTTTAGGGCCGACTTGAAAACCGCTAGCTCATTCTTGGACTGTACCTCTAAGGGAAGAGAATTCCAAGGACTGGCGCCATAGACCGCAAACGACCGGTCGCCCCATTTTTTATAATTAGAACGTGGAACAACTAGGGACAAGTATTTTGAGAAGCAAAGGGCTCTACGCGGCACATAAATCGACAGTAAGTCAGATAGGTATGGCGGAACGAGGCCATGGATAGCCTTAAAAACAAACACCAACGTCTTAAATTTAACTCTATATTGAATTGCAAGTCAGTGCCTCCCGAAAGCGGGAGGGCCAAGACATCTAGGCTTGCTGTGCCCACGGTCGGATCGGGGCTGAAAAGAATAAATTCAGTTTTACTTACATTTAAGTAGAGGAAATATTGAGCCAGCCGAATGCAATTTTGCAACGGAGTTAGTGAATTTAAGTCGCACACAATCAGTGGCATGTAAATTTGGATGTTGTCCACATGAAAATGAACATTATGGCTGGATAAGATTGCCGCAAGGGGTGCCATATACAACGAGCAAGGTAATGGGGCCAGAATCGATCTTTGAGGAACACCTGAGGATAGGGGGGCTATGTTAGAAGAGCAGTCATCAATGACAACAGAGAACGACCTGCCAGTCAAAAATGAGGCAAACCAGTGTAAGACTGTAGCTCTCAACCCAAAGATGTGTTCAAGTTTCGAGAGTAAAATCAAATGATCCATTGTATAAAACGCAGCTGATAAATCCAAGAGAACTAAAACAATGGAACATTTAGTATCAAGGGCCGTGGCGATATCACTATGAATCTTAAGTAATGCTGACTCTGTACTATGGCGGGGTTTAAAGCCAGATTGAAACTTGTCAGCAAAATTGAGACGATCCAAGTGCGACTGCAGCTGAATAAGAACGCTTTTTTCCAAAACCTTGGACATAAAAGGGAGAAGGGAAATTGGGTGAAAATTCGATAATGAGGAAGGGTTTTTTGAGGAGCAGTCTAACTATTACATGTTTAAGAGCAGTTGGGACCATGCCCGATCCCATGCTAAGATTAATAAAAGTGGCCAGGGAGGATCCAAGGGTGTCAATGACCTCCTTGGTAAACCTGGCTGGAAGCGGGTCAAGGGGAGAAGAGACAGGATTTAAGTGTAATATATATTCTTTCAATTGAGACAGAGAGATCGGGGTGAAAGAGTCTAAAGTATGTAAGACATGAGCTACAGGTGGTCTATAAGGTGAGGGCTTTGGAGTATTCTGCCTAAGAGCCTCGACCTTCTCACTGAAGTATCCCAGAAATTTGTTACAAAGCAAAACTGATCCCTCAGTAGGCATCGTACCAACTGGATTAATAACTGAGTTTATTATTTTAAAAAGGACTCTAGGGTTATGGCTGTTATCTGCGATATTAGCTAAGTATAGAGTTTTAGCCTTTTTTTACAGCCTCCTGATAGGCGAGGAGGCTGCCTCTAAGAATTTCTAGGGAGACGTGCAAGCCGTCTTTTTTCCATTTTCGCTCAGCCTTTCTGCAGCTCCTCCTTAGGGCCTGGGTGGTGTTGTTTAGCCAAGGAGCAAGAGTCTTGCCAGTCCTTCTTGTCCTACAAGGTGCAACGGAGTCCATAATCCGGACGCAGGTCGAATCCAGTAAAGAGAGGAAGGCCTCTGGGCAGACCGGAGGATTCTGATCCTCTGAGGCGTAGAGCTCAGCGGCAAAGTCTGTGGCAGTAGAGGGGGCAATAGTCCTACAGCGTTGAAAGGGGGCCGCCGGTCTGGGCAGCCTTGTTGGTAACGTGACCTCAAAACGAATGATCAGATATGGCCAGATTCGACACATCCTTAATGGAGACAGATAGACCTCGAGAGATGACGAGGTCTAATATGCCCCCACGTTGATGAGTGGGGCATAAAACTGACTGGTTAAGGTCAAAAGAATCCAGCAGTGCATTAAACTCATTTGCGAGCTGGTCAGAGGAAGAATCCATGTGAATATTAAAATCACCACATATCAACAGACAATCATACTGTGGGATAAGAGCAGCCCCTAAGAGATGGTTGTTGAACGTGTTTCCAGCTTCAAATTCCTGGGGACCCACATCTCAGAGGATCTCTCCTGGACCACCAACACCTGCAGCCTGGTTAAGAAGGCTCACCAGCGCCTCTTCTTCCTGAGGACACTGAAGAACCACCTGTCTTCAGTCATCCTGGTGAACTTCTACCGCTGTACCATCGAGAGCATCCTGACCAGCTGTATCACAGTCTGGTATGGAAACTGCTCTGTCTCCGACCACAAGGCGTTGCAGTGGGTGGTGAAAACTGCCCAATGCATCACAGGGACTCCACTTCCAGCCACTGAGGATGTCCAGAGGGAACGCTGTCTCTGACATGGTCGCAGCATTTTCTCAAGGACTCCTCTTACCTTGCTCACAAACTGACCTCCTGCTCTCTGGGAGGTGCTTCAACTATCACAAAGACCATAATAATTCATATATTGTCTTATGACGTCTGTACAATGCCAGTGTACATGGCGGAAGGTGATCTTGTTGACTGTGTTCGGTGAGATTTTAAGTTGATTTTTCATAAGGTCCTTAATCAGTGATTTGGGGTTATTGGGTGATTGTTCTGAAATGCTGGAAAAAAAATCAGGTTTTCACGCATGTTTCTAGTTTGAATGTCCAATATCGTTTTGTTTTTTTTCATTTTGTTTTCTTTTATGATGGACTCCATTTTTTCGCTGAGGGTTTTGACAGATGCTTGAAGAGAGATGATTGACTGTTTTAACTTTTCGATGCAATTGTGGGCAAATTCAAGGCTTGACTGGAGTTTTTTTTATTTCATCATGAAGTATGACCAGTAAATCAAGTTTTTTTTATTGATGGATGCAAGAATACTGACCTCAATGTCTGTCATTTGTAGATCGCTTGTATCTATAGAAGAAATCTTGTTTGGGTTTGGGGTGTCCTGCTGGGTTGTACTGGCTGTATGCATTCTGCAGTGAATGTAGTATGAATAATTATAGGTCCAATAAATCCTCCAGCACGTGAAAGGTCTAATCCGGTTATTGGCAGCAGCTTGCAGTTTCGATAGATTGCTCGTGTAATAGTAGTAGTGCGTTATAAAGTCCCAGCTCAAAACGTTTCATTAGGTTCCTATAATGGGAAAAACCCCTTTAGACTTCAGACTCCTGATCAAATTCTACATTTGACTGAGGCTCAAACATACAGAAGAATCTATCCAGTATTCCCCCTGCCATTGTATCCCGATACAAAATACTAGCTGGGGGAAACGGGTCCTGGGCTGCCCCCCATGCCTGGGCTCATTCCCATATTAATGCATTTTGGAATTCACAGTGAAAGGCAAAGAAAACACATGTTGACAGGACATTTTTGGAGGTTTACTTAACTTTTATGGAAATACTGACTATATTTTATTTTAAATATTGTCATTTTGCATATGTTTTATATTTTGTCTGTCAGTCTTGGTGTCTTTTGTTGAATAACACAACTTTACACTAACCTATTTGAATTTTTAAAAATTGGGTTATGTTCTGGATAAAGGAGTACTAAAATTATGAACAGTAATCACAAAAAGTTACTTCATGGTCTCTGTTTCCAGGGCTCGGAGCAGGAGAGCAAAGGTTTACCATGTAAGAAAGGTATAGTGCAGTCAATTGTCGGGCAGGGCTACCATCGCAAGATTGTCCTGGCATCCCAGTCTACCCAGAGTACGACTTACAGGTTAGTGTAAACTCACACAAGTCCTCCCTTCCAGACTGACCCTTTTTTAAAATAGTTTTTCCACCACAGGATCTCAACTAGCTGTGAACTTAAGCTTGCTGTACCTGTAATTTTTTGAGCTGAAGTGATCCATTCCACTTTGTTTTTCCACTACATTTTTCACTGTGTCAATCCTTGTGTATGTGAGGGCAAGGCTGCACTCCCCACACACACACACACACACACACACACACACACGTTAAGCAGAGAGTGCAATGGTCTTTACTTCTGACAAGATTAATGTTTTTAAAGGTGTTTGTTCACAGAGTAATTCAAAAAGTAATGAATGGATCTCAATGAATTTTTTTGGAGGTGTAAAGTATGGTCCATGGAACAGCTGATTAGATTTTGGTGCTGATTTGGATCATCACCCGGATCCAGGAATTTAAAATAAATGTGTATTTAAAAATCTACAAATTTTAACCTTGACTGCAGATAATCAAAATCATGTCTTATCTATTTGATTTCATCTCCTGCTGCCACCAGCATTTTGTCCCCATCAGATTACACAGAATTTATTGAATAAATATAGCCTTATTAAATAAATTCAACCAATAATATGATCCCAGCCTTTTACCATACATTGAAGAAATCAAGTCTGCTAAACAAATGAGTAGACTACATTGAATAAGATGTAACGTTAATTTGTTGATCTTTTCTTCACTCCAATTCAGGTTCTTTACCTGCTGCCGATGTATTTTTTTGTTTTTTAAAAAGATAAATGTGCATTAATTCCACCCATTATTTTTGTTCCTCAGAATAAAAATGGTGATTTTGCTCTTCATTTACCTGTTGCTGTGGTGAATTGTGGTCTTGGAGCTCCACTGATGATGGCTTTTTATAGTTGTCATCACCATGAGCTTCCCAAAAAGGGAATGGTTTTGCATGTGGTGTCCACAGACAAATGCTCGCTCCTTATCCTTCCTGACTGATTCTTCTCAAGTTTTGTTTTGCTAGTGTCCTTGTCACTACTGGTAGCATGAGGCAGTACCTGCAGCCCAGTCAGGTTGCACAGGTATTCCAGTTACCCCAAGATGGCGCATCCATGTGTGCAGTTGCAAAAAGTTTGGTGTGTCTCCCAGCACAGTCTCAAGAGCGTGGAGGAGATACCAGGAGACCAGCCATTACACCAGGAGAGCTGGACAGAGCAGTAGAAGGGCAAAAACCCAGCAGCAGGACCAGTATCTGCTCCTCTGTGCAAGGCGGAATAGGAGGAGCACTGTGAGAAGCCTACAAAGTGAACTCCAGGAGCTACTGGTGTGCATGTTTCTGACCAAACTGTCAGAAGCAGACTCAGTGGGCCCAACATCTTCTAGTACGACCTGTTCTCACAGCCCAGCACCATGCAGCTTGACTGGCATTCACCAGAGAACACAGAACTGGCAGTACTGCCATTGGTGCCCCACTGTCTTCACAGATGAGAGCAGGTTTACACTGAGCACATGTGACAGGCATGAAAGAGTCTGGAGATGCAATGGTGAACGTTTGGTGGTGGGTCAGTGATGGACTAGGGAGACGTATCCTTGGAGGGCCACACAGACCTCCATGCTATAGCCAATGGAACCCTGACTGCTGTGAGGTACCAGGATGAAATTCTCAGAGCGACTGTCAGATCTTATGCTGGTACAGTAGGCGCTGGGTTCCTCTTGGTGCAGGACAATACCGGGCCTCATATGGCCAGTGTGTAGGCAGTTCCTGGGTGATGAAGATATTGATGCTATTGACTTGGCCTTCACATTCCCATGACCTAAATCCAATCGAGCACCTATGGGACATTATGTATCGGTGCAACCGACACCACCAAGTATCACCGCAGACTGTCCAGGAGCTCACAGATGTCCTGATCGAAATCTAGAAGGAGACTCCCCAGGACACCATCTGCAACCTCATCAGGAGCGTGTCCAGACATTGTCGGGAGTGCATACAGGCACGCAGGGGTCACACACGCTTTTGAGTCACATTATGAGCTGTTGTGATGAAATTCACACAATTTGGATGAGCTTGTGATTTAAGTTTAACGCATGATGAGTGTTATTTGGCGTGACACATTTTGGTAGGGTCTTATAATGGACAAACACCATAGGAGATTTTTAAGCTATGATGGAGCCTTGTCATCAAGAGCTTTGCAATGTAGGAGAAGGATTTTAAATTCTATTCTGGATTTTACAGGGAGCCAATGGAGAGAAGCTAATTTGGGGGATATATGATCTCTCTTGCTAGTTCCTGTCAATAGCATTCTGGTTTAACTGGAGGCTTTTTAGGGATTTTTTTTTGGGTCTTCCTGATAGCAATGAGTTACAGTAGTCCAGCCTGGAAGTAACAAAAGCGTTTTGGTATGGTGAGCTGCCACAGAGAAATGTTACCAGCAGAAGCCCTAGGAAACTGAGCTGCCTTGGTGGAGGTTTGCAGTGTCTAGTTAATCATGCGTGCAGCAAATCTCACAGTAATGGAGGGACTGTATGAGCAGTTAACCAGCATCTGTTAAGCAAGCAGAATGCAAACTTGCAGAAATGTAACATACCGTATTTACTACTTTGACTGCAGTCAACTTACTGAAGTCCCCATTTTACCCTTTGTATGTCATTGTGGAGATAGTCTAGACATTGTATTAAGAGGGACAGGCAGGGTAATGTCCAAGTAGATGTCCCTGGACATTTCCCACCCACACATTTCCACACACACAGCCTACCTGCACAACAATTTCAGGAATTTACTTGACTTGAGGATCAAAAAATCTTTTTAAATAAATTTGTATGTAGACATTTGTTTAACCAGCAACCATGGTGTTATGATTTCATTTAAACTGTGTACATCTTTTTGACAACATCACAACCTCGGAGCAGACAATCCCTTGTGCAGCCCCAGTGATCTTTAAGCCCCCTAATGGGTGCATGGACCCCATATCAGGAACCATGGCCTTACAGGGATCTGTGCTTATAGAATCATTTGGGTTTCAAAATTAATGCATTTCTTTTATAAACATATTTAACATTAAAATAATGTTTGCATAATGTGCAGGGGCAAACTGGTTTAACCAAGAGGTTAATAACAAATTTTGAAACATAAGATATAGTTGTCCTTTAAAAGGACCAGGATGCATTATGCTTCATGAATGCAATTTTTTCAAATTGAGTTTAATCATCTATTATACAGTTTGAAAATATGGTTGAAGTTTGATAATATTTATCCTACCTGACTCCAGCATCGGATTAGTCATGAAATCTACTTCAGTTAGAGACAGCTGATATGATCTGCCATTTTTTGAAAATCGTGGTAAGCAGAGGTTCAGTTAACTGTGATTTAAATAAAAATACATGAAATAGAATATCTACAGATAGCTGAAAAAAAACTATGTGTAGGTGTCCTTTCCAAAATGAGTAGCAACATGTCTGTGCAGATTCTCAGTCATCCAGGTCATAGTAAGCTGAAAAAAACTAAAGGGGGATAAATATCTCCGGATCAACACCAGTCAGTCAGAACTGATGAAGCCTCTTGGATGAGAGGTGAAACGTCTTTGACCTAGAAATCTAGTCCAGTTGATTTTTTTCTAAGTTTTTTCAGCTTACTATGACCTGGATGACTGAGAATCTGCACAGACATGTTGCTACTCATTTTGGAAAGGACACCTACACATACATTATATAATTTTTTAATGGTATAAACTAATTATTTACACAATTCAATAACAGCTTCTATCATGATTTTATTTTGTATTTTGTGAAGAAATGGTATTAGGTAGTACCTTTTCCTTTCTTTCTGCCAATGCTTATGCTGTAAGACTTGACTGACTCTTGTATTGGACTCACTGGAAGCTGTGGTCTACTCTGCTGCTCTGCTCTTCTTCTGTTTTGCCTGTACAACTAAACTGAAGCATTTCAATTTTTCTGATTTTAAATTCTTTTCTTTGAGCTTTTCAGCCACACCTTTGCATTTTTGGCCTTTATTTATGTAAAGCGAGTAAGCAACAGTTCAGTGCTGCCTGTGTTTAATGATGACAGACACTGACACATGAATGGTGAACGTGGCAGAGTGGGTCTGAACCAACCATTGTTAGTGGAGTGAGAAAGAACTGAGGGAGACGAGGTCACAGTGGGTTGTACAGTGTGCTCTACTGGACAGATCACCAAAACACAGCCACATCTGAACAGTTAACAGTTAGCCTTACAACCTCATCGTTGTTAACACATACTGATGGTCTTATCCATTGGCAGTGGATTACAATGTATTTACGTAATTTGCTAGATTCCCAATTCTGGCCTTGGATCCTTCTGTTATTTCATCCTCCAGTCTGTTAAAGTGGCCATGGTATGCTCGTTTCCAGCCATCCAATGTTTAATCTTGGGTACCTCTATATTAGCTTTGCACCCCTCATATCTCCAAATAGTTTGTAGTTATTTCAGAATGATGAAACCAGAGAGCCTATTCCTAAAAACGAGAAGAGAGTTAATGAGTGTGCACAACTCCTGTTGCTGGTGTTGTGTCAAAAGTGGACAGCACAACGAACCGCAATGGAATTAATCTATTTGAATATTCTCAATTTGTAACACTGTAAACAAAGTGGGTAATTGAGAAACCCCATATTTTAACTGGCGTAATGCAGACATAGTAACTTATCCAGCCTTACAACAATTCTCTCTAACATTATAGAAACAGAATCAGAATCATAATCTGCTTTATTGGCCAGGTGTGTCGGACACACAAGGAATGTGACTCTGGTACATCGGTATGTACATATCCCCATGCAAGGGGCAAGTAAACAGTAAACCAGCATAATTTCTGTGTAATATAACGAGCAACAACCAGGGCAAACAATGCACAATAAGCAGTATAAACAGGCAGTAAACAATGCAGACAAGGAATGCTCATTGTGGAATGGGATAAGTAGGAATAAAAACAGAGTATTTAAAACTAGAGACCTGTACGAATCTGTATAATCTGTATGAGGTATATTTACAGGTATTGCACTGAAGGTTATTATCCAGTTATAGTGTCATTGGTTAACTGTTAATCAGAGTAATGGCCTGGGAGAAGAAACTGTTCCTGTGCCTGGTTGTCTTGGTGCACAGTGACCTGTAACAGCAAACAAGGCATTAACAACCATGCAACATGTTCTTTGTTTGTTTTGTTTGTTTGTTTTATTTGTCACACTGGGTAGTGGAAACACCATTCACTTTCAAGTAGCTCCAAGGTTGGTAAATCCAACCGGTGATCACTGCCTCTTCCCCCCACAGGACCACATAGTTTCCCAAAGTAGAAAAATTAATTCCAACAGATAGCGTAGCACCGATAATAACATCATGGGTCATTAGAATCCTCTTGTTAACCCACAACACATCACATGTGGTAGACACGCTGGCCTCAAGCAGTCAAAACACAGAGGTACTGTGCTTTTTTTTTTTTTTTTTTTTTTTTAATAATAAGCTTTATTGAAAATATAACAAAAACATAACAAACCAGGCATTTTGCCAATATGGTAGGGGCACCGGTGGATGTCAGGCAAGCTCACACAAATGCGCAGCAGCCTGGAGATAATGCCCATTTAAGGAAATCCTTAAACTATCTGGTAATACTTTATTTTGTTAGAAAAAAGTTTGCAAGACTTGTATAAGCCGAGTTGCTTCTGCATAGTAATGCTAGAACATACGTATACCTCATTTTTTGAGCTTTAGGTCACGTCTAAGATTATAATTATTGTTGTAACATTGTAGATAAGTCAGAAAACAAGGAAAAGCATGGCTCTTTAAGATGCCAGCAGGAAACTGTCGACCAGGCCTTTCATCCTGGGGAACTTGTTGCACAGACAACTGATTGGTGGACAGGAGGTAACTCCAAGTTTCCAGAGGAAAATTTTCAGGCCTGGTAATTGACTTTATTGCCAGCTTGTTTTTCTATGTTTTCTGTGTTTTTCTTGTAAATACTGGCCTGAGCCAATCACTGGGGATATTGGGTTTGAATTGTGCTGTGCAATGGTTGTTAATATACACTGTGGTGAAAATGCATATTCTGGTGTGTTTAAATATTATTGCTTGTTGCAGTTTTTTCTGTGATAGTTATCAGATTCTGACTATATCAGAGATGTCCGTATTAGTCCCTTTGTAGGGTTTGCTGGTTAAAATTTCCACACCAACAATTTTGTTCAACTGGCACCCTGGCTTAAAAGCCAGTAAACTGCCAAAAATATAACAGACTAACATCTAATTAATATTTAATCTTGTTTATATTAACCAGATGCTCTTTTTGAATTACCTCAAGCTCAGTGCATGTCTGTATGTGTTTGTGTGTTTGTACAGCGAGGGCCAGTCAGCAGCTATCCCAGTTGCCAGTATGGAGTTTGCAGCAATCTGCCTGAGGAATGCTCTGCTGCTGCTGCCTGAGCACCAGCAGCAAGACACCAAGACAGAGAACGGGTCCAAAAGCTCCAGTCATTCAGGAAGTGCAGAGAGTGGCAGTGAGAACAGTGATGCATGCAGGTCAGCTGTTTACTATAAGGTGACATCCAGAATTGACCATTCCAAATTTATAATCACTGGAAGATAAGACACAATTTTCTAATCCACTTAAGAATTACTGAAAGAAAAGTTTATTTTCATGCACACTGGCTGACAAAAAAATTAAATATAATTAAACGGCTCGACTAGAAGCGTCTGTCGACTGATAGGTCTCTCGACTATTTGACTATTAGGGGGCAGCCCTAGTAGGATGCCTTACAAGGAGCGTCCTCATGTCCAGATACACTCTGTTCATTTGCCAGCATGCGATAAATTTTGAACATTGCTTTTGATAAATTCTCTTGCTTGATTTTGCATTGTGGCTGTAGCAGTAGAATCAGCATTATATTTTGAACAGGGTAACTAATAATCTGCAACCTATTACATTTCAACGGTAACCTTCCCAACACTGGTTATTATGTACTGTAGATGATGGCAATCCCCAAATCTTATGCTGAGATCATTTCTTAGACACACAGAGTGGTGCACCACACAAATCTTTCTGAGAGCTTCAGCCTCTCTGGGATGCCCTTCTTATTCTCAATCGTGATAGTCACCTGATAACTTAAGTAGTTGTGAAGTGTAGCTGAGTGTGACTGTGGCTCAGTAGATTTGGACATGTTTTCTGATGAATGCTGTTGGTGTGCTATGCAGTGGGAAAGGTCAGGAGGCTGATAAGTTCTTGCCTGCAGCACCGTCATCTCCTCTCAGAAAACAGGAGGTAGAAAACCTCAGGTAATGAGGCTTCACATCTCTTCTCATTTTTCTCTTCTTACCACAGTTCAATGAACTAGTCATCATTCAAGGGCATTAAATAACTTAAATAACAGCAGTCAATAAGGTCAACTGTTGAATGTGTAGGTGCTCCATTCTGGCCTGCAGTGCATATGTGGCCTTAGCACTGGGAGATAACCTGATGGCTCTAAACCATGCTGAGAAATTGCTCCATCAAACCAAGGTGTCTGGATCCTTAAAGTAAGTGCTGTGTCTATTTCTCAACAAGTTGTTGGTTCACCTGGTCTGTTTTTTTTGCTGAAGCAACAAGTGGCCACACTGATCAGTTAAGGTTTTGTGCAAAATTCTTCAGATTTGATCAGCAGTGTCTTCCTCTGCCTTGAATCATTTAGCAGTCTGGTTTTGTCTTCCTCCTCCTTTGCTGTGTGTTAAGGTTCCTGGGTCACCTCTATGCTGCAGAATCTCTCATCTCATTGGACAAGATCTCTGATGCAATTGCTCACCTCAACCCAGAAAATGTCAGTGATGTGTCGATGGAAGTACTGACGAGTGAGCAAGACCAAGGTCTGTAGGTTTTACACAACTCAACAAAACAGGATTTAGTGTTGTGTCCTTAATGCTTAGTTTGTTTTTGCCAGCAGGGTCTGACAGAGGAGATGAGCCCGTTGAGTCCTGTGAGTTTACTCAGTTTAATTCTTAAACCTAAATGCATGACTTGTACTTGAAACAATCCAGAATCTCATGTTTAGTTTATTTAAACAGGGATAATGAACATTAAAGGTACTGTAGATAATTAATCGAACCAGAACAAAAATAATAGTAAGAAATAAGTTATAATTTCCAGCTGTGCAGCAACTAAGACATACAGTGCCTTGCAAAAGTATTCATACCCCTTGAACTTTTCCACATTTTGTCACATTACAACCACAAACTTAAATGTATTTAATTGGGATTTTATGTGATAGACCAACACAAAGTATCGCATAATTGTGAAGTGAAAGAAAGAAAAGAAAACGATACGTGGTGTTCAAGATTTTTTACAAATAAAAATCTGAAAAGTGTGGTGTGCATATGTATTCACCCCCCTTTACTCTCATATCCCTAAATAAAATCAAGTGCAACCAACTGCCTTCAGAAGTCACCTAATTAGTAAATAGAGTCCACCTGTGTGTAATTCAATCTCAGTATAAATACAGCTGTTCTGTGATGGCCTCAGAGACTTGTTAGAGAACATTAGTGAACAAACAGTATCATGAAGACTAAGGAACACACCAGACAGATCAGGGATAAAGTGTTTTTGCAAGATGGCGCCGCTGTTCATGGCCTGCCGTCAGCCTCTCCGGGGTATGTTATTGTTTTCACTGTTTGTGCTGTTTCTGTCGTCTGTCACTCGGAATGCATCAGCTCTACTAATGTACGATCGTGCCGCCCTTCTTAATATTCGTTCATCTATGGAAAAGTGTCCCAGTGTAATGGGCTGGGATACCTTAAAGACTGTCCCACCATGACTGGCGAAGATACCAGCATATCTTCGGCGTTCTTACTTCGTCTACTCACAAAGGAAGCGTACCAGAAAACGAGGGAAGAGGAGTGGGGTGGCTGTCTGCCTAAAGGCCCTCTGGCGCTCTGCTTTTGTGGATGCCTCTGACCATCGCCGTGGACCCGGCTGGGGGTGTTGTCCTAGCATGATTCGCTGGCCTGGCTTCATTTGTGGTTGGCCTCGGCCCATAGGCCTGGATTTCTTGGCCTCTCATCCATATCGCCAACTTTCACAACATCCGAAAAGGGGTAGTAAGTTGGTCTAATCTCCGACTGCTGAGACGTGTGTCTCAGCCACCAAACCCTGTTTTATCGATACGGATGGGTTAGATTAACGTTAGATCGTTGACTAACGAGACATTCATTCTAAATGACTTTTTATATCACGGAAACTGGATTTCATGTTGCTGACTGAGACGTGGTTAAAGGAAGGTGAGCATTGCGCATTTTCTGAGCTTCTTCCACCTGGTTGTTCCTTCCTCAGCTCCCCTCGTACGTCAGGTCGGGGCGGTGGCCTGGCATGTGTTTTTAAAAACAGCTTTCAATGTTCCCAAAGTTTGACAGGCTTTTAATCCTTTGTGATTTTAACATTCATGTATGTTGTCGGGCTGACCCTTTGTCTAAAGATTTTTTTTAAGTACTATTGACTCTTTTAACCTCACCCAGTCGGTGCATAGCCCTACACATGAGCTCGGACATACACTGGACCTTGTGATCTCTCATGGGCTGCCTGTTGTTATTACTGAAGTAGGTGACTCTTGATTATCCGATCATTTCGCTCTGTTATTTAATGTTAATGTGCCTCCACAGTCTGATAAACCCTCTATTTCTGCTGGTATTAGACGCTCAATCACCTCTTCAACAGCAGGAGAGTTTTCTACTTGCTTCAAAAATTCTGGTTTGTATCTGATGGGTGATGTGTCCTCCTACATGGATCCTGAGGAAGTATTGACTCTAACCTCCACCTGTCAGGATATATTGGATTCTATAGCTCCCCTCCGATGTAGACCAGCTAAGCCGAAGGTGGAACCTTGGCTAAATGACTTAACTCGGGAACATAGACGAAGATGTCATAAAGCTGAACGTAAATGGAAGAAGGACAAACTTTGTTTCTCTTCGCCATTTCAGGGACTGCTTGTCGGACTATCAGAGGGTGGTGAAATCTGCAAAATCAAATTATCTTTCTAACATTGTGGTCAGTAATTGTCACAAACCTCAGGTTTTGTTCTCTACAATCAACTTTGTTATTAGCCCATGTAATCTTACCTCTCATCCTGAGGCATCTGTCTAAATATGTGAGGGTATTTTATTTGATCTGGCGAAATTTGCTGCTTTTATTCATCTTCAGCCCATCTTCAACCTCTCCCTCAGCCAGAGCATCGTCCCCACCTGCTTTAAGACCACAACCATCGTTCCCCTTCCCAAGAAGAGCCCGGTCACCTGCCTGAACGACTACAGGCCAGTGGCACTCACCCCAATTATTATGAAGTGCTTTGAGAGAATGGTGCTGGCCCGCATTCAGAGCAGTATACTGGGGACACTGGACATACCCTGCAGTATGCCTACCGGCCCAACAGGGCCACCTCAGGCGCCATCGCAGCTGCCCTCCACTATTCCCTTTCTCACCTGGAAAATGGAGATTCCTACATCAGGATACTCTTCATTGACGACAGCGCCGCCTTCACCACAGTTGTCCCCCACAAACTCACCCACAAACTGTCCACACTAGGTCTGCACCCCACCCTCTGTGACTGGCTCCCGGACTTTCTGACTGGCAGGCCCCAGACTGTCAGGATTGGCAATAGAACTTCAGCCAGCATTGTTACACTGGCACCCCACAGGGATGTGTCCTCAGTCCCATCCTCTACACCCTGTTCACCCACGACTGTGTCGCCTCCCACAAAGACATCATCCTGAAGTTCGCGGACGACACCACAGTGATAGGTTGCATTACTGGCGGGGACGAAGCAGCCTACAGGAGGGAGGTGGCCGGTCTGGTGTCATGGTGCAAGGACAACCGCAG